TTTTCCTCTAAAAATACATAGTTTTCTATATATAAAGGGTAATTTTTTAACAGGTCATGGGACTAAAATGTAGTGGGATGTCTAAATTTTATAATGAGAGTCAATGGTATTTTCAATATAAAAACAGACATAAATATTTACCTTTTTTTGATGTTTATCTTATTGACAACTTTTGGGGGCCATGTATATTGTGGCTAGAGACCTAAATTGCATTTTCTTAAAGGACAACAATTAGCAATTTCTCTAGCCATGCTGCATAGTTCCATTGCCTTATTTTTAATAATTGAAACCTCTCATTTTTACAGTGGCTTCCTGTTGGTTAAAAAGAGTGCTTTGTATGGGTGATTTGTTAAAGTTCTGTTTATGCTTATTTAACCTTCTTAGCCAAGATGAAAAAAGTAAAGGACGTGTCAGCCTGGGTATGAGCATTTCCCTATAGAAAATGGGGGAGGTGGGGGGAGAAGCAAAACGTGCACTGAGCTCTGTTTATGGTTTAACTGGTGAATATGTGCTGATTAAAAACCTATGATGAATGCATCACCAGTAATGTTGTATTGGGCAGCAGCAATTGGCTAGAGAAATATTTTGATTTCTACTCTATTACCCCAAACAAGATAAAGTGGTTGAGCTGAGTATTTATATCTCTACTCTTCTAGCTGGGGCCTGTGAGGAAATAATTCAATGAGATAAGCCTCCACTTTGCAACAGAACAGATAGAGACGATGCTTAATTGATGCTTTCTCCTCATTATTTCATCCTTTTGGGATACGTCACATTTTAAGAAAGGCAAGGAAAGTGATTAGGGCATTATAGGGACTTTGCTGTGTGAATTATCTTCCCTGGGGTTTTGTTTGTTTGTTTGTTTGGTGCCTGGCCAGTACACGAATCAAAACCTGGACTTTGTGTCCTAGGGTTTTCAGTTCTATTAAAAGTTCTTTTAAATGACCGAATGGTGATCTTAGCATCCTCTTGTATTCCTCTGTACAGGTAAAACTTCGTTTTCTGAGAAGGAAGACGAGGCCTGAAGAACAAGGATTTTTATAATTTGGTTGTCCACATTTGGAAACTAGAACTTCAGAGGGGGTATAAATGTCAACATTGATTTATTTGGCGATTAAAGGCATGCATCAGACCTTATAAAATGTTGGCGAAAGGTTGGACTGTAAATAAGAGGTACTGCGTTCTTCGACCTTTGTTGTCTAGGAGGTGTTAGTAGCTAATACTATCAAATGACTAGTTTCATTTCAGCAACCTGTCATGGAATGAATGAATTTAAATGTCACTTGGTTAATGACTACCCTCGGGCCTTAACAAAAATCCCATTACTTGGCCAGGGAATGTAATGGCAAAGTGAGATAGTGGGTAAAAGAAAGAAGGAAGGAAAGGAGGGAGGGAGAGAAGGAAGTTTGACTGTCCTGCTTTCATCAAACTAACATTTTAAACAAGTATACATTTTTATTTTCAAGCTCATTTTTGCTTAGATGAACAGATATGAAACAACCGTAGGGCAAAGCATTAAAACTCTCAGCCTCTCGATTTTCCTAAAGTGACATCATTGATGGTGACACATTGGTGTCTCTTTCTGAACATCCATTAGCCTCTCATTGGGCCATGAGGCAATTTCCTTTGTCTCTCATTATTCAGTTTACATGACTGCCTTGCTCCAACCCTCCTGGAGCTCATTTACTACTTCTGGAATTAATAAGAGCTGGAAGTTTGAAGGTTTCTTGTAAATAGCAGTGCCATACTAGAGCAGGCAGAGATTCTGGTTTCAATCATTTGTACTTTCTTGGGATGAAACCAGACTTCCTACCCTTGACCATGTGGGAATGACTTCATTCACTCAAGGCAGAGGTAAGTCCAGGGATTTTTGCCCTTCTGGCATTGTCTCAATATGCCTCGGACAGGAGAGCGATTTTGA